GAATCCCTGCGCAACCCTCAATGTGTTTTCCAAACTCTCCCTCCAAGATCAACTCTCGGTATTTCCTGTGTTGTCACAGCTCTGCCCGAGTGTTCACTTCCTCTGCCTCTCTCTCCTTCACGCTGGCCAGCAGAGGAGAGGAAATCATGTTACATCACTCCAGCGTTGTTTAAGAGAGGCCTTTCCCAAACGCTTCATCACTTTCACATGTCACAGTAACGGTTATCCAGCCAAGACCGGTTTGCTTTGAGGATGAAGAGGTCAGGATGCCACAGTGACAAAGCACTTCCTGTCAGTTGCGATGTTTTTAAGTGTGATTTCGCCGGTCGTGCTGTGAAAACCTGACATCTCAATGAATGTCTGTGAGCACTAATTCAGTCTACAGCATATGCATACAACAAACTTTTTGTTTTGTATCATTCTGTTATTTTTACCATAATGACCAGCTGACTTTATCATATAAATATGAAACATGCAACACTTATATTCCATATTATCTGATCAATTGACTGAACCATTAGAACTGTTATTTATGTGGAAATGAAATCAAATAAATTAAATAAGGTTATTCAAACCTAAATATTAAATGAATTAAATTGGTGTTTTATAAGTGTGTGAAAACACTGTGAAAACATGACAACTCGATGAATGTCTGGACATTTATGTTCAGTTTTTTTGGGGTGTGAGCACTATAATTCAGTTTACAACATATGCATACAACATGTTGTCTTGTATCATAAAGTTTTGTTTGGTTGGTTTTGCTTTTTTTTTGGCATAATGACCCGCTGACTTTGTTGTCTTTTAAATATGAAACATGCAACACTTATATTTCATATATTCCATGTTATCTGACTTAACCATTAGAACTGTTATTTATGTGGAAACTGATTTTAAAAATAAATGAGGTTGTTCTACCTAAATAATACTGTATTAATGGATGAAAATACTATAATAAACTGCAGTGCTTTACAACTATAGGACAGGAAGAGCTAAATAAACTTATCACTGCATCTAAACCAACAACATGCCTGTTAGATCCTGTACCCACTAAATTACTGAAAGAGTTGTTACCTGTAGCAGAAGAACCGCTTCTCAATATTATTAACTCGTCGTTGTCTTTAGGTCACGTCCCAAAACCACTCAAGCTGGCGGTTATTAAGCCTCTTAATAAGAAACCACAACTAGATCCTAGTGAACTAGCAGATTACAGACCCATTTCAAATCTTCCATGTATGTCTAAAATTTTAGAAAAAGTTGTGTCTGCACAATTGCGCTCCTTCCTGCAAAAAAAATGATCTCTATGAAGAATTGTCAGGTTTCAGGCCCCACCATAGCACAGAAACTGCACTTGTTAAAATTACAAATGACTTGCTTCTTGCGTCAGACCAAGGCTGTATCTCATTGCTAGTTTTACTTGATCTTAGTGCTGCGTTCGACACTATAGATCATGACATACTCATAGATCGATTACAAAACTATACAGGTATTCAAGGGCAGGCTTTAAGATGGTTTAGATCCTACCTGTCCGATCGCTACCACTTTGTTCATTTAAATGGGGAGTCATCTCAATTATCACCAGTAAAATATGGAGTGCCACAAGGATCTGTCCTAGGTCCTCTGCTATTTTCGATATACATGTTGCCCCTTGGTAATATTATTAGAAAATACGGGATTAGCTTCCACTGTTATGCAGATGATACTCAACTATATATCTCAACAAGACCAGATGAAACTTCTAAATTATCTAAGCTAACAGAATGTGTTAAAAATGTAAAAGATTGGATGACCAATAATTTTCTCCTATTAAACTCGGATAAGACAGAGATATTACTTATTGGACCAAAAGACAGTACACAGAATCTCGTGGATTACAATTTGCAACTAGACGGATGTACAGTTACTTCCTCTACAGTCAAAAATCTGGGTGTTATATTAGATAGCAACTTGTCTTTTGAAAATCATATTTCCCATGTTACAAAAACAGCATTCTTCCATCTTAGAAACATTGCCAAACTACGAAATATGTTACCTGTTTCTGATGCAGAAAAGCTAGTTCATGCATTCATGACCTCTAGACTGGACTATTGTAATGCACTGCTAGGTGGTTGTCCTGCATCCTCAATAAACAAGCTACAGGTAGTCCAAAATGCAGCGGCTAGAGTCCTTACCAGGTCAAGAAAATATGATCATATTACCCCAATTTTACAGTCTCTGCACTGGCTACGAGAAAATCGCCTTTAAAGTTGTCCAAATGAAGTCCTTAGCAATGCATATTACTAATCACAAATTACGTTTTTATATAGTTACGGTAGGAAATTTACAAAATATCTTCATGGAACATGATCTTTACTTAATATCCTAATGCTTTTTGGCGTAACAGAAAAATCGATAATTTTGACCCATACTATGTATTGTTGGCTATTGCTACAAATATACTCGTACTACTTATGACTGGTTTTGTGGTCCAGGGTCACATTGAATAGAATAGAATAGAATAGAATAGAATAGAATAATCGAATAGAATAGAATAGAATGTTTAAATGCGTTTAAATAGAATATATTTATCTTATTTATTTATAAATAATATAAATGAAATAATATATTTCATATATAGGCTATATTTCTATCCTAAGCGTAGCTATTCCTAGAGTTGATCGGCGTTACATCCATTGCTCCCTTCTTCAAGCGGCCGGAAGAGGGATGTGATGTAAAAATCACATTGGACCGTTTTTTTTCTTCTTCTTCTCCTGCAGCAGATCTTCCGATGCATTGTTAACAGTGTTGAAGAACAGAAACTCTTGAACACAATGCCTCGGCATCTGTAAAGGCGCGTTGGCTTTCGGATGTGACTTCGGTGGGATAAACGATTGTCAGGATCCCGAAAACAGGTATTTAATCAGTTTGAAGCGAAAGTTTCTGAAGACAAATTGAAGTTGTTGATTTTTCGGAGCTCTTTGTTGCGATTGAGAAACACTCTTGCGTTCAGACAGATCAGATGTGTGCTGCTGTTGAACTCGAGGTGATTCACAGATGTTTGAAACTTTGTTTTGTCAACTTTGGATGCTTTGGAAGTTAAGTTTATTAACTTTTATTTACAGGCGATTGTTTGAATAAGTTTGAATACACTGACAATATCATTCACATAGCCTAGTGCTTTTTCGTTTGATGGGGTTATATCGATAGAATGGTTAAGTGTTTTGTGGCTGTTGTTTCACTTTATTGTCTTGAGGAGTTTGTTTCTGTCTGTTAAAGTTGCTGCTTTGTGATTTTATTTGTCTCATTGTCATCAGCTTTATAAATCAGGCCGCAGTTCGCATGTTCTACTTTTACCTACAAGAACTGATTACTGTTACCTTTACTACCGCTAATTTTTTTTTAATGTTTTATATTATGGATTCTGCGCGAATGGTGTCCGATTCAACGAATCGTTTTTTGAATCGGTTCACTAACCGGTCTGAACGATTCGTTCGCGAATCGGACTGAATCAATCCGAGCGTTTATCGAGTCAACAATTCTCATTCTCAGACGTCTGATTAAACTGGAGAACGTCTCAGGTTATGCATGTAACCATGGTTCCCTGAGAACAGGGAACGAGACCCTGCGTCCTCTAGAGGGCGCTAGGGGAACGCCTTCAGCGTGACCGGTGTCTGAAGCATGAAATGAAAAAACCACTCGCTCTGTTAAATCTAGATTAAAGACACATCTCTTTGGCCAAGCATTCAAATAATGCATCTCATAATCTTGTACTGCAGTTATATCTGATCAAATGCACATTATTATTCTTTAGTTTGGGTTAAACAAATAAATTTTGCTTGATTGGAAGTTACAGCAGCTACGCTAATTATGTCTCAACTAATACGTTTTAATAATAATAATAATAATAATAGTAATAATAAATAGTCTTGTTGACATTTGAGTCTTGTTGACACTTTCCAAGCAATCCTGTGTGCTTCCACAGACTGCCAGTAAGCCCTGTTGTGTCTTGCATCACCCCTGACTAAATGCAAAAATTCTGGAGACGTCTTTTCAGGAATGTGCCGAAACAGCTGCTGCCCCCAAGAGGCTTCACAGCTGTCAGAGAGACAGAAACATGAGTCTGTGCTGCCCTCTGATGCACGACATGAGCAACTACAGCGGGAGCTGCCTGGAATAAAAGAGTTTTAGTTATTTAAAATAAAAGAATAAATATTAATACTATAAAATTATAATAAAAATGAAATAAAATAATATAAAATTGAAATAAATAAATAAACGTAATGTTTGAGAAATCAGACATTTATGTGATTGGACTTTGGACTCAAAACACGCCCCAGTCTCGTCTATAGACCTTGTTTTACAGCAGGTTTTACTACAAGTTACTAGTGGACTAGTTACTGAAGGAGTATTGTTTGAACAGTTGTTGCATACACTAGAGTCCTTATAAAATTATGATTTGACATTGCTGACCTGAGGAGGGATACGAGACTTACAAAATGTTATTACTTGCCTATAAGGCCCTTAATGGTTTAGCTCCTGCGTACCTAACTAGTCTTCTACCACGCTACAATCCATCACGCTCCCTAAGGTCGCAAAACTCTGGACTTTTGGTAGTACCTATGATAGCAAAGTCCACTAAAGGAGGTAGAGCTTTTTCGCATTTGGCTCCCAAACTCTGGAATAGCCTTCCTGATAATGTTCGGGGTTCAGACACACTCTCTCTGTTAAATCTAGATTAAAGACACATCTCTTTGGCCAAGCATTCAAATAATGCATCTCATAATCTTGTACTGCAGTTATATCTGATCAAATGCACATTATTATTCTTTAGTTTGGGTTAAACAAATAAATTTTGCTTGATTGGAAGTTACAGCAGCTACGCTAATTATGTCTCAACTAATACGTTTTAATAATAATAATAATAATAATAGTAATAATAAATAGTCTTGTTGACATTTGAGTCTTGTTGACACTTTCCAAGCAATCCTGTGTGCTTCCACAGACTGCCAGTAAGCCCTGTTGTGTCTTGCATCACCCCTGACTAAATGCAAAAATTCTGGAGACGTCTTTTCAGGAATGTGCCGAAACAGCTGCTGCCCCCAAGAGGCTTCACAGCTGTCAGAGAGACAGAAACATGAGTCTGTGCTGCCCTCTGATGCACGACATGAGCAACTACAGCGGGAGCTTCCTGGAATAAAGGAGTTTTAGTTATTTAAAATAAAAGAATAAATATGAATGCTATAAAATTATAATAAAAATGAAATAAAATAATATAAAATTGAAATAAATAAATAAACGTAATGTTTGAGAAATCAGACATTTATGTGATTGGACTTTGGACTCAAAACACGCCCCAGTCTCGTCTATAGACCTTGTTTTACAGCAGGTTTTACTACAAGTTACTAGTGGACTAGTTACTGAAGGAGTATTGTTTGAACAGTTGTTGCATACACTAGAGTCCTTATAAAATTATGATTTGACATTGCTGACCTGAGGAGGGATACGAGACGATATACGTGCGTTCATGCAAATCTATGCATGCCATAAAAGTATTTGGCTATTTAACCTGCAGAGACTCAGCAGTACAGTTTTGTTCACTGTGCACACACACACACACACACTATATATATATATAGATATAGATATAGATATAGATATATAGATATAGATATACTATATATATGATAGAGCCTAATTCATGCCACAAATTTATGTTACTAGTTTATCTTTAAAGAGGACATCTTTGTCATCTTTGGCTTGTCAATTCATTCATTCCTAATATAATATAATATAATATAATATAATATAATATAATATAATATAATATAATATAATATAATATAATATAATATAATATAATATAATATAATATAATATAATATAATATAATATAATATAATATAATATAATATAATATAATATAATATAATATAATATAATATAATATAATATAATATAATATAATATAATATAATAATGGTTTAGCTCCTGCGTACCTAACTAGTCTTCTACCACGCTACAATCCATCACGCTCCCTAAGGTCGCAAAACTCTGGACTTTTGGTAGTACCTATGATAGCAAAGTCCACTAAAGGAGGTAGAGCTTTTTCGCATTTGGCTCCCAAACTCTGGAATAGCCTTCCTGATAATGTTCGGGGTTCAGACACACTCTCTCTGTTAAATCTAGATTAAAGACACATCTCTTTGGCCAAGCATTCAAATAATGCATCTCATAATCTTGTACTGCAGTTATATCTGATCAAATGCACATTATTATTCTTTAGTTTGGGTTAAACAAATAAATTTTGCTTGATTGGAAGTTACAGCAGCTACGCTAATTATGTCTCAACTAATACGTTTTAATAATAATAATAATAATAATAGTAATAATAAATAGTCTTGTTGACATTTGAGTCTTGTTGACACTTTCCAAGCAATCCTGTGTGCTTCCACAGACTGCCAGTAAGCCCTGTTGTGTCTTGCATCACCCCTGACTAAATGCAAAAATTCTGGAGACGTCTTTTCAGGAATGTGCCGAAACAGCTGCTGCCCCCAAGAGGCTTCACAGCTGTCAGAGAGACAGAAACATGAGTCTGTGCTGCCCTCTGATGCACGACATGAGCAACTACAGCGGGAGCTTCCTGGAATAAAGGAGTTTTAGTTATTTAAAATAAAAGAATAAATATGAATGCTATAAAATTATAATAAAAATGAAATAAAATAATATAAAATTGAAATAAATAAATAAACGTAATGTTTGAGAAATCAGACATTTATGTGATTGGACTTTGGACTCAAAACACGCCCCAGTCTCGTCTATAGACCTTGTTTTACAGCAGGTTTTACTACAAGTTACTAGTGGACTAGTTACTGAAGGAGTATTGTTTGAACAGTTGTTGCATACACTAGAGTCCTTATAAAATTATGATTTGACATTGCTGACCTGAGGAGGGATACGAGACGATATACGTGCGTTCATGCAAATCTATGCATGCCATAAAAGTATTTGGCTATTTAACCTGCAGAGACTCAGCAGTACAGTTTTGTTCACTGTGCACACACACACACACACACTATATATATATATAGATATAGATATAGATATAGATATATAGATATAGATATACTATATATATGATAGAGCCTAATTCATGCCACAAATTTATGTTACTAGTTTATCTTTAAAGAGGACATCTTTGTCATCTTTGGCTTGTCAATTCATTCATTCCTAATATAATATAATATAATATAATATAATATAATATAATAAAAGATAATATAATATAATATAATATAATATAATATAATATAATATAATATAATATAATATAATATAATATAATATAATATAATATAATATAATATAATATAATATAATATAATATAATATAATATAATATAATATAATATAATATAATATAATATAATATAATATAATATAA